GGTTTTTTGTTTGTTTGTTTGTTTGAGACAGGGTCACACTCTATCGCCCTGGGTAGAGTGCCGTGGCATCACCCTGGCTTTCAGCAACCTCAAACTCCTGGGCTCAAGTGATCCTCCTGCCTCAGCCTCCCGAGTAGCTGAGACTACCGGAGCGCACCAACACGCCCGCCTAAATTTTTTCTATTTTTAGTTTCCCAGCTAATTTCTTTCTATATTTAGTAGAGACATGGTCTGGCTCTTGCTCAGGATGGTCTTGAACTCCTGAGCTCAAGCAACTCTCCCCCCTTGGCCGGGAGAGTGCTAGGATTACAGGCATGAGCCCCCGCGCCCGGCACATGTGTCCTTTTCTTAAGCCTTTTTGAAAGTCTCGTGGTAAAATAACCCCTTTCAGAGCCATGAGGGGTTCAGAAATGATAGGGTCCAAATCCCCCTTTTGCAGCGGGAGACCAGGCCCAGACTAGTACCGGCTGCTCGGTGTGCGGGCCAGGCCTCTGGAGAGGTGCTGAGGCGCCCTCTCCCTCTAGGTGGTGGTGGGACAGGGTCACTCGCCTTCCTGGTCCTGGTTCGGGTTCTCTCATCGTGACACTCTGCTTCCAAAAGCCGAAAATTCCTCAGAAATAAGTCACCTCGGGTCCTCTTTAACCTTACCTCTGGGACCAAAATTGTCACAAACTTGAGACTAAAGGGATGTTTTCTTTCACCGAAATGGTGATTTTTTTTTTTAATTGTAGGTTTTTAATTCTTTGGCAGTGCTTAAAATGTGTGAAAATTCATGACCAGATTTCCAATTGGAAAATTTGGCAAAAGCGGACCGGAATCCTCAAGCAACAACATGGGCTGCTCCATCTCCTCTCCCCTCCTCCCTCTCCTCCCTCCTTCCCCCCCCAAAAGGAACAACTGGAAAGAACCTTCTGTTCTCTTTGCCACATGCACAGAAACATATATTTACAGGGAGAGTTTAAATTATGTGTTATTTTTAGGCCTGGCGCAGTGGCTCACCCTGTAATCCCAGCACTTTGGGAGGTAGAGGCAGGAGGACAGCTTGGGGCCAGCAGTTTGAGACCAGCCTCGGCAACATAGTGAAACCCAATCTCTACAAAAAAAAAAAAAAAAAAAAAAATTGTTTTAATTAGCAGGGTGTGGGTGTCATGCACCTGTAGTCCCAGCTACTCCAGAGGCAGAGGTGGGAAGATTGCTTGAGCCCAGGAGTTCGAGGCTGCGGTGAGCTATGATGAGGCCACCATACTCCAGCCTGGGCAGCAGAGTAAGACCCTGTCTCTTAAAAAAAAAAAAAAAAAGTTTATTTTTACAGTATATAAAAATAAAACCAAATTAATATCAAAAAAAAAAACATGAAAAAACTCAATAGAAGGTTGAAAGATAAAATTAGGCAAATCTCCCAGAAAAGTAGAGTAAAATGGCAGAAAAATGGGAAAGAAACATAAGCGAATTAGAGTACCAGTCCAGACAGTTCTGTTCCAAATAATAGGAGTTCGAGAGAGAAAAAGGAGAAAATACAAGGAAGGAAATACATTTTTAACAATTTCCAGAAGTGAAGGACATTGGGCTCCTGGTTGAAAGGACCCAGTACGATGGATGAAAATAGATCTATAATAACAAACATCATTGTGAAGTTTCAGAACACTGAAGAGAGAGATTCTACAGACTTCCAGAGAAAAGACCAATTACATGCAAACTACCAGGAATCAGAATGGCTTTAGATTCCCAAACAGCAAAATTGGAAATGGAAATTAATGGAGAAAACCTATTAAACTTCTGAGGTAAAATAATCTACAACTAGAATTCTATACACAGTCAAGCTATCAATCCACCTGAGAGTAGAATACATTTCTAAACATCCAAGTTCTCAAGAAGTTTACATCCCACATATCCCATCTTATGAATTACTGGAGAATGTGATCTGCAAAAATGTGAGTAAAAGATACAGGAAAAGGCAATTCAATATTGGATGGAGAGGAGGACACTCTCAGGATGACAGCTGGTACCAGAACTGGAGAGCAACTGTTCCAGGATGGAGATATGTGATTAAAGAGACAGACATATTGAAGCTAAGACCACCATGACCAAGACATTCACTGCCTTTGTAATCTCGGGACAGCATAGCCAAGGAAATCTGATTCCTATTCCGTTCTGTACTTGGCTTGTTTGGCCCTGTTCCAATGAAGTGCCTGCTCTCCCCTTTATATCCTGATGTCTAGATCAGCTGAGGACACTCATTTCACTCCACAGGAAGGCTCTGCATTGATCATCTCTTGATGGAGGTAGGTCATGGTGAGCTTAGCAGCAGAAAATATAAAACAAGCACACAATACTCTAGGCATATTTCTGCAGACCCAGGATGCCCCAACTGTGGTAACTTGTGTTTCCTAGGACTCACTTATCACCTTGCTCACTGACATCTGCACATGTAACTCTTGTAAACTCTGGAAGCAGAAGTCATACCCAGGGACTGTTCAGTTCATCATCTCCAGGACACTTTGATCTAATAGTAGCAAATATTGTCCTCATAAAGCTAGGTTTGTACTTGTTTCTCAGTTATTCAAAAATAAATAAGATATTGTGTTTAGACATACCATACAGGTGGTTAAAAAAAAAAAAAGGAAATGCTTAATACAGATATTGTTTCCTATCCAGAGTGTATGGGACCAAAAGTGCTCTGAATTTTGGATTTTTTGGGGGTTTTGGAATATTCGCATATACATAAGATATCTTGGAGATAGGACCCAAGTCTAAACACAAAATTTGTTTGTTTCTTTTACCACCTATACACATAGCCTGAAGGTAACTTTATACAATACTTTCAATAATTTTGTGCATGAAACAAAGTTTGTATTAAGTACCTATCTGTGGAATTTTTCACTTATGGCATCACGTCAGCAGTCAAAAAGTTTTGGATTTTGGAGCATTTCAGATTTTGGATTAGGGATGCTCAACCTGTATAACAGCCTGGATAGTACCTAAGAGTTACCTGAGGGGAAAGAGTTAAATGAAAGTGAGGATGGACCTATAGGCAACTATGTTCTATTTCCTAATTTGAATAGTGGGCATGTGTTCTTTATACGTTCTCCCGTATGTTTCACAATTAAAATGTTAAGGCCATTAGAATTCTTACCTTCTCTTGCCCTGTAATAGGAACAAACAAGCTTGGTAAAGCATACCAACGTCAACACACATGAAGAAGCAACATAAAAGTATTGAAATGTAACTGTAAAGTCACAAAATGGCTAGGAGTTCTATCCTTCACCTGAGCTAATCTGCTGACATCACAATGGAAGTGTGGATACAGGGCATTATAGGTAATATACACAAATGGTAACAGCATTTAAGATACTTAGACTCCATGGTGTGAAAGCGACACACATTCGGTAGCAAGTGGTAGACCACTCTGTGACGCTGGGGCAGCAACAGTGAGCCGCCCCTCCCATCAGCCACATGACCAAGAGGGCAAACCACAGATACTCTACAGTGCACTGTGTTGCCAGATGACTTTGCCCAACGGTAGGCTAACGTAAGTGTTCTGAGCACGTTTACGTTTAAGATAGGCCAGGCTAAGCTATGACATTCGGTGGGTCAGGTATATTAAATGCATTTTGAATTCACCATATGGTTTTATTGGGACCAACTTACATTGGGTAAGTCAAGGAGCATCTGTGGTACTAAAATATGACAAAGTGGTTTTAAACCAATCATGGACAGTGCTTAAACAAAGTAGGTTTAAAATACAACAGACAGATTCCTCATGATTCCCGCCTCCCCACCCCACCACAAGATCTCTCAGGCCTTTTTCCTGGCTAACTCCAGTGAATCCAGGTCCTGTTCCAGGTTTATGTAATTCTCTTCTGAAACCCTTTCCTGTCTCTCCATTAATTCATACACTACTTAGTGACCGTATACCAAATGCAAGGCAATGTTCTAGAGCCTGGCAATAAAGCAGTACACAAAATTTTCTGTCCTCAAGGGAGGTTTGCTCTAGTGAGAGGAGACTGAAAAACAGTCCCCTATGCCAACAGGTGTTCTGGAGAACATAGAGCAGGGAGGGAGGATAAAGGATGCAGGGGAGGGATGTATGTGCTATTTTTATATGCATGCTCAAGGAAAAGCCTACAGAGAAGGTGACAACTGAGCACCAACCTTGAAGAAGGTTTGTCTACAGTAAGAGCACTTCAGGGGGAACAGCAAGTACCAAGATCCTCATGAGAAGCGGAACTTATCAGAGACGATATCATGAGTTACCGGTCACTGCATATACTCTGCCCCTCAAATGATGTGGTTCCTGAACATAAAAATCCTCTTAACTCTTTGGACTCACAACACTTAGCATGGAGCTTTTATGTTCAGTTCCCAACCATTGTTTATAGATAACTAAAATATTAGAAAATTCATTAAAATATTATGAATTTGTTCTCCAGAATAAAATTAAGATCTTTAAGCTTGGAGTGTAATCAGCCTAAATAACAATATGCTTCATCAAGACTTGTGGGTGGCTGAGTCACATTCTCTTAGTTGTAAAATATATATGTGGACTTATACCCTCTGGGTCAGGTACAGTGAAATTAAGCAGCTTCTAAGGTGGAATTTGGATAGCACCACAACAAAGTAACATCCAATATCTTTGGTTCTGAAAACCTTTAACTGAGAAAGCTACCAAAATAAATGGTCAATTCTTTTAAGATTTACACTCTCAGTACTAACATAAACCATCACCTGACCCTTTGCTTCGTAGGCTGGCATTTAGATACACTAGCTCCAATATCCTACTTCTGTAATGACAAGCTCTCCAGCTAAGTTTTTTCTAATCAATGTTGGTAAAATATCCAATGCTATTGTTTTTTACAACTCTTTTAAAAATTCTACAATAATTTACTCAGATTTAAATTGATAATACACATGGTAGAAGTAAGTACCTACTACTATTGGAAAAGCCACAAGATTACAGATGAAGACACTTTCTAATAATTTAGATAACAAATACAGCTCACCTGCCAAAAATGGTCCTGACCCAGCCATTCTGAAGTTCCTAACTCATACCCAACAGTCTCCACAGATTTTTACAGCCCAGTCCAGGTAAAAACATATTAGTTAGGGACACATGAATAGGGGCCACTAATTGTCTGTTACAAGAAGTCACAGTTTTCACAGTTTACCAAATAATTAACAATTGTGATGGTGTCATTGCCTAATCCTTGAACAAGTTTAAAGAAGTTAAAAACAACTTCTCAAAAACAGGGAGTTTTCAACTATGTATCTTAAATCAAGTATGAATGGTTCCAAACATTAAATAATGTTGAAAAGACAAGCTTTCCAGTTTAAACTGAAGTAAATATTTCTGATTTTGAGCTAGGGACTCACTGAAGCCAAAGCTTTCTTGATTATTTCTTCTACTATTTGGTTTCTTGACTTCACTGTTCCTAAATCCCAAAAGCAAGTCATCCAGTAATATGACAGGAAATATGAGTCCAAACAACCTTAATATTCATTTTTAGCATCCTTTTTGAAATAGTTCTTTGTATACAGCAAGGGAAAACTTAGTTTCCTACCAGTGGAACCTTTTCAGGAAAACTCATCTTACCACTGAACAGAATAAACTCAGCATTTCAAAATTGAGTTTAACCAGGCCACTTTTCTACTTACAGCAAATT